AGAAAACTGGTCGGCAGCTTATGCTCCATTAGGGGCAACAGAAGTAAGTAAGTAAGTAAAATATACACACAATCACAATGTATATATATGTATGTTTGAATAGCTTAAAGAAAAGAGCAAAATTAATACACTGAAAAAAAAAACTTACTTGATTCACTAAATTTTGTATATCCGCTCCAGTGTATCCAACTGTTCCATGAGCCAACTTTTCAACGTCAATATTTGGACCGGTTTTCACTTTTCCTAAATAAAGATTTAAAAGAGCCATTCTGCCCTACAATGAAAAAAAAAACAGAAGAGAGAATATAGATGATGATGAAAATGTTGGTGTGATGGGATGTGATGAGACAAGCCAGTTGCTAATCATCTATTCTCAAAATTAGGCTACTGTATATTCATAAGATTTTGGTCACAGTAAATGGTGAAGTGACAAACGAAATTTTATTTACAAATGCAGTTTTTATTATTTTAAAGAAACAAATTTTTAGAAAGAGTGTTATTGTTCAGTCAATCAGCTGCAATGTAGGACTTCGCAAGTCCGTACGTACATTCGTTGAAGTTGACAAATCACATTAGCACAGAGAGATAGAATTACCAGTTGAAATGCTATAGTAGTAGAGGTAGTAGAAGTATTAGCGGTAATCGGGAAGATTAGGGCCCGAAGATATGATTTGAGAAGTATACCACCGTGAGATAAATTTAAAAGATAAAAACGGTCATGAGGAGTTCAGAAGATTAAAATTTGGAAGAACACAGAGAGTGGATGCACCTGGGCCATTGAATACGATTTTGAGCCATGTCATTCATGGTCTCTAACAATCGGTTACTATCATCTTGCGGAACCTAACGAGGTAGTCTACGCCTACAAACCTTTTAAGATGGTTCAGTCCATTTGTCAATGACTTCATGGATTTGTGCAATGTTTTGGCTTGGTCGCCCCTAGTCTTCTTCCAGCCTATTCCTACACCATAAACCATGGCTCATCAAGGCAGTCAGTGGTTGGGTATCCGAAACATGTCCTAACTACCTTAATTCATGAAGATTTACTACTTCACTAACTGATTTGCCTTTCTTAATTAGTACCCTTTTCCCAACGACAGCACTGCTTACCCGGTGATCCTAGGATATACGAGTTATGATTCGAAGACATCTATAGTTGAGAAGCAGTAACCTATGAATATCTTCTACTCTCACTGGCCATGATTTACAGCCGTAAAGTAGGACGGAGCAAACTATTGCACAGTACACCCGTCCTTTAGTCAGCAAACGGATATCTCGCCTATGCTGTAAGTGAAGCAGATTGGCAAAAGCCAATCGAGCCTTCTGTATCCGTGCTGAGATTTCGTCACACACCAGGCCATCAGCACTGATGAGACTCTCCAGATAAGTGAAGCGGTCGACACGCTCCACTACTTCACTCCCTATCACTAGTTCAGGTACCGATGAAACCCAATCTTGAAGCAAAATTTTGCATTTCGACAGGGAGAACCGCATCCCGAATATGCTTGCATTGTTGCTTAGGGTAGTCAGAAGACTCTGCATTTTGTCAGTCTTCATCGAATAGAACTATGTTATCGGCATATTCTAGGTCAGTAAGCGATCCTCCTGGTAGAAATTCTACCCCTGGAAAATCTGATGAGGATAATGTTAACTCTAAAAGGATGTCTACGACAAAGTTGAATAAGAATGGAGAAAGTGGAGATCCCTGACGGACACCACTTGAAGTGAAGAATTCCGGTGACAGTTCGCCATAATCTCTCACTCGACCAGTGGTGTACGAGTAGAGAGCTTGTATGAGGAGAATGTACTTCTCTGGTACACCTTTCAATGGGAGACACTGCCACAGAACCTCACGATCCATTGAGTCAAATGCCGCTTTTAGGTCCAGGAAAACAACTATTGTAGGACGATTAAATGTGTGTCTGTGTTCCAGGACCTGTCGTAGTGTGAAGATGTGGTCTATACATCCATGTCCAGGTCTGAAACCAGTCTCGTTTTCCCTAGTCTGCTCTTCACGAGCACTAGTAAGGCATCTAAGTATAATCGAGGCTAACAATTTAGAAACTGTATTAGATAGACTGATTCCCTGTGATTTTCACAAGAAGACTTTTGTCCTTTCTTGTAGATTGGGACAATTAGCGACTGAGACCAGTCAGATGGGATTACTTCCAGTTCCCAGATTCTACCTAGGATCTCAATCAGTCTAACTGTTAAAACTGGACCACCATCCTTAAAAATTTCAGGGGTAAGCCTATCAGGATCTGCTGCTCTACCTCTCTTTAGATTTCCTATAGCATTCTCAACTTCATGTAGACTGGGAGGACTTAAACCGATTTGGAACATTCAGGGATTGAGACCAGTCAGATAGGATTAGGTCCAGTTCCCAGATTGTACCTAAGATCTCAGTCAATCTTACTACTAAAACTGGATCAACATGCTTAAGAACTCCAGTGGTTAATTTATCAGGAACTGCTGCTAATTATGCCTTAGAACTCAACGACATACCGACACCAGAGAGGCCATTGGTAGTACCAACGAAGTCTCCAGATAAACGAAGGATGAATCGTATTGAATCGTTATGCTGATAGGATGAGATCAAGTAAATTACTGTATGAGCGTTTCGGAGAGGTAGCATACATTGATGACGCGAAATTCTAATGTCCTAACCAAGGAAACCTGTTGTCTTGTTTGGCACGATGTAGGAATATTATCAATCAACAGCAAAGTAGAACTTCGTACGTACGTACGTACATCAGTTCAAGATGCCATACCACATTAGCACAGAGATGCAATTGTCGATTCAAATCCCATAGTAGCAGAGGTAGTAGAAGTGTTAGCAGTAATCGGACAGATTAGGGTTCGAAGATTTTCTTAAAGAAGTAGAATCTAGTGAAATAAACTTGAAGAAAAAGATAAAGGTGATGAGGAATTCCGAAGGTTAGGATTTGAGAGAACACAGAATGAGTGGATCTGCGCCATTGCAAACGGTTTTGAGCCATGTCATTCAATGTCTCTAACCATCGACTACTATCAGCTCTCGGTAGTCGACACCTTCCAAATAACCCCTTTACTACAAAACAACTCGTCAAGGCAATCGGTGGTTAGGCATAACTGACACATGTCCCAACCACTTCAACTGATGAAGCTTCATTACTTCATCTATCGATATGCGATCCTTACCTAACAACAGCATTGCTTACCTGGTTATCCCATGATACACGAGCAATGTTTCGGAAACATCTGTGATTGAAAACAAGCAACCTACAAATATCTTCTACTCTGACTGGATAAGAATATTAAGTCTCACATGCAGTTTGGAGCGTAGTTTCAGGAGGTCAGGAATAACATTTCATGTACTCGAATGATTAGCACTGGCAAGGCAAGGTGATAAAGATATGCAAGAAGAGTTGGTCATGGAAATAAGAGAGAGTTATTAAGGGGTGAGAGGATTTGATCGTGAACAAGTTGATCTCGTATGTTTTTGCGAGTGGTTATAACTTCCCGGCTATTCACACCGTAGGAGGATATTTCAAAACTAATAATGAGTGAGGATGATGGAAGCCTAGACGTTTGTCATGTTGTATCCAAAAAATTTTATTTTCGTACTGTGCAGTGGTTCGCTCCGTCTTACTTTATGGCTGTGAAACATGGACAGTGAGAGTAGAAGATATCCATAGGTTACTAGTTTTCGATCATAGGTGTCTTCGAAGCATTGCTCGTATATCCTAGGACACCCGAGTGAGCAATGCTGTTATTAGGACACGGGTGCTAGGTAAGAATGGCAGATCAATAGATGAAGTAATGAAACTTCATCAGTTGAGGTGGTTGGGACATGTGTTGCGTATGTCCAACCACCGACTGCCTCGACGTGCTTTGTTTTGTAGTGTAGGAATAGGTTGGAAGAAAGCTAGGGGCGGCCAAACCAAAACATGACAGAAATCCATGAAGTCATTGACAAGTGGGACTTAGCCATGTCGGTAATTGTCTACTACCTTGTTGGGGTTCGCGAGATGATAATCAATGGTTAGAGACCTTGAATGACATGGCTCAAAATCGTTTGCAATGGCGCCAGTGCATTTATTCTTTGTGTTCTCTCAAATCCTAATCTTCTGGATTCTTCGACCCCTCTAGTTTTGACTTTCTAAACTTTTCTCACTGAATCATACTTCTTGAATAATATCTTATCATCCTAACCTCTGCGATTACTTCTAATACCCTTACTAACTGTTCTACTATTGGATTTGAATTGACAATTACATCTCTGTGCTGATGTGGTATGGCGACATGAACTGATGTACTTACGTACGAAGTTCTACGTTGCAACTGACTGACTGAATGACAATTCATTCATTCATTGGTTTAATAATAACTACTTGACACTTAATACCATCATATTAAGAATCATTTTCCTTTTAATATTTTGTGTAACATAGCAATAGGAGTTAGAAAAAAACTAATCTAATATTGATTAACTTGCCTCGTAAGTTGGTGGTGATACAAGAATTTGAACATCAAAACGACCAGGTCTTAATAAAGCTTTATCTAAATCTTCTGCTTGATTTGTTGCACCTAAAACTATAATTCCTTCTGTTGGCTGGAATCCATCCATTTCTGCAAGAAGTTGATTAATTGTTTGATTAGCATAAGGATGATGAGGTGAAGATGTTCGATTTCGACCGACAGAATCAATTTCATCAATAAATACTACACATGGTGAATTTTGTTTGGCAGAAGTGAAAAGTTGTCGAACACGAGAAGCTCCTAATCCAACGAAAACTTCATCGAAACTACTTCCAGAAACATACAAGAAAGGAACCTATGTGAAAGGGAGATAAATTTTGGTTTTAGTTAATTGCAAGTAATCAGTTAAAAGTGTATATTCTTATTTTACGCCTTCTTTGCTTTAGTTATGAAAGAACGACGTACTTACTACTCATTAACGGGCTTGCAAAATTAAACAAAGAGAGAACATGTAAAAAACCAACAGCCTAGTACAGATGAGTATCAGTCTGAGTTCCCACGCTTTGTATCAAATTATCTATATATCTAGAATAAGAAAGACAGTAGGAATAAATTGATAGAAGCAATTATAGTGGAATTCGTTGAAAACATTCCCCGAGGATGACTAGCGGCTCCGAATAGGCTGTTTTCCCAAAACGAGAGAAGTTAGAAAGGTCAACCTAGAAGTAAGGAAATTCCACTTTTTTCCACAGACTCCTAAAGCCCGGCGATAAGGTCAGGAAACCATTCACCAAACAAATCTTAAACTTTTTTCATCAGAGAGTCATGGAGATTAATATTTTACATTGAAATTGTGAACAATTGATTTACGGTCCAAAACTATCTACATAAAAACCGTGTGTGAGCGACCTGCCTTGGGTGCTCGACAGTCATCGACAGCTCGATAAGAAAACTACTGATTTAACTCTTCTTTTAGATTACTCAAGAAACATCCCTTTACGATTTGGACGACTGTGAAATGAGAACAGTTATTCTTCTCGGTTGGTTAGTGTTTAACACTTTTGAATAGTTCAAAACCACATCACTTACTTCACTTTGAACAACCTATAAGTATCATTACTACAACTTAATATAAATGGTTTAAAACCGAACAAATTTACCTGTAACTGGCAAATAAGTTACATTATACATAACCCCTATAACAGAGCTTACACTGGTTTTGTTTACAAACTGTTCCGACTGACTATGCAATACTCCTAGGTACATTATTATTTTTATATTCGTGATCTTTTTAGTGTTTGTGAAACTTCAGGAAATGAAAAATTAGGAATATAGTATCAGCGCTGATGAGATTTACTGAAACTAATTACCGTACAATTTTATGTCTTGGGCAAAAAATATAGTTGACACTTTTATCACAATGTGTCGTACTCTCAGTTTTTCTGTTTAAAATGGATAAAAGAAAATCAAAATAGGAGCGAAACAATTGGAGTGGTACTTAGGATGTAGACAATATTTATTTGATGTTTAAACATACTTGGGCTTCACCAGACACCGCTTTAGCTAGTAATGTTTTTCCAACTCCAGGAGGACCCACAAGAAGAACACCTTTGGGGAGTTTAGCTCCGATGCGATTAAACTTTTCAGGGTTTCGGAGAAATTCAACAACATCCTGGAGTTCCTTTTTAACTTCATCACACTAAAGCTTAGGTGAGTAAAACCGTGACTTACTCCTTGAACATCATTAAAGTTAACATCAGCATTTTCAGCGAACGAGGCTACACTAGAATCCAGTAATTTTGGAAACGCACCTGGAGACCGAAACTTCGGTTATTGTGAACGATAAGTGACTTACCGCCGAGTACTCTCTGAACAAGCTTTAAAGAGATTAAAATAATGGCTGAAAATCCAAGAATCTTCAAAATGAATGTGACAAATGTTTCCATTTTTGATGACTTTTCTTTTTCGGTTGACGACTGAAAACCTCTACGATAGGCGTCTACTATTTTAAGCTGTAATGACGGTGGTTGATCTTTTAACATTTCGTTCAGATCTGTATGCACCACTGATGAATCTGAATCACTCTGTCTAGCTTTCTTCGTGTCCACAATAAATGAACTAAAAGGTAGTCTAGTTTTTCTAGATTTTGTAACAAAAGTCCGAACATGGGTATTAGGTATCTTAACATATGAAGGACACAGAGCAAATAAGCGTAGATGAAATATCCCTGGGTGTTTTACGCAGCAACTTCTGATAATCCGATAAGACGGACCGGCAACCTTAGACAAACTCATCTATCAAGACTCCCTCATAACCTTGAAGTCCAGACCAAACAAAAGTATGAACTTTCTGAGGAGTTATCTTCCAGGAACCCTATTGTCGTACCGTGAGGTGAAAGTTTTCAGGAACTGACGAACATAAGAAATTTTATAACTAAAACCTAATACATCATGGCTCAGAAACGATGAACTTTCAATATCCAATATCCAATATCTTTTTCACGAGCTAGTGTAAACCAATTTGATTTCTTCGCGCTCGATTCTTGTTCTTTTGGTACGGTTCCAGGTGTTCGGTAATGTCCAATGGATGGAGGTCTAGCCACTCTTTAACTTTAAGTTTATTTTACTCAGGGTCCATAATATTATGAAAAGACCTCCGTGAATTTTATTTGAGAAAGGATAGGAGGCTGATAAACCTTTGTCAGTGTTGCGAGGATTTGTTACTTGGGTAAATGGTCACCACAGAACATAAAATTCCAAATAAAAGAATACATTTTGCTTGTTGATTACCCCAAAACGTGCGACATACAGAGCCAATATCTCCAAGTGAGCGTACTCACCACATACGGCCGGATCAACATTTCCATACATGTAAGTTTATTTTTTTCCGTGTTGAAGCGGTCAGAAAACCGCAAAATTCACCGTATGATGCATTTTCCCAAGTCATCAAACGAACGACTAAATACTTCATCGTCAACAAGAATATGTAGTGGTATAATTTTACGAAAAGATCACAATTGCTGTGATGGAAATATCTATTATTGTACACGGCACCACATTGCGTCTGCCTGAGGAATTTTTCACCCCACGGAGCAGTAATAACTTCAATAAATCAGACTACGTCCGACGATTGTTTGAAGTTATGCGAACACTGCCTCCGGTGTCAACTCGAGTACAACAGCGACAGGCAGCTCTCCCTCGAGAGTTATCTACCTGTTCGCATGCTCTCATGCGAGTCGATTCGACACGCAAACCTTTGCAACAACCCTACGGAGGACCTATTCACGTGATTTCTCGTCATGAAAAGACCTTTAAGGTTGCTCCACCTGGCCGTGTCGAGATCGTCAGCACACGTCTCAAACCGGCACACGTCGATGACAATGCCCTACCTGCTAATCAGAAACCCAATACTAGAACTATCAAACCTACGAGCAGGATCCGTGCATCTACTTTGGACCCCACGCGAGATACATCAGAGACCTCATTCTCATGTCCTAGTCAACAGCACGCGTCATCTGCACTACCTATGGATGAGACGCCAGTCTCACGTCCAGATCAGTAGACCACGCTACCCTCGACTTCAGATGATATTTCAGGCTCATGAGGTACGCACGAGACTATCGTCTCGCGTTTCGGTCGCTGCGTACGCGTACCTCGGCGTTTACGCGAATAAACACAGGCAACAACGGATACGCGATAGGACACTATCCTAATACTACATGTTTGCTACGTCTTTCTCTTTTTCTTCCATTCTGTATCCTGAGCGCGTGTCTACGACCACCGCTCTGTTGGTACCGTCGATTTCAGTCAATCTTGACGAAAGCTGGCCTGATCACCCACGCTCTCGTCAATTCGCTCAGTCGATGTTCTGCTTCCGAATGTATCTGGCATACGTATGGATTCGACCTTGATCGTTTTGGTCGTTTCTAACTCACTCGCTCAACCTGGTTCCGTCCTACGTCTGGTCAGGTGCAATTTCCAGACTCTGGATTAGAGCCATGCTGGAGTGACACGCCAACGCGAGCAGCGAAACTGGCACGGTACTACTGGTAAAGTTCAATGTAGAAGACTTTCGGCTACAACTCAAGCTTCATTGGTCGCTTCCTGTCCATCGGCCCTTCTCCCCTACAATCGCCCGTTAGCCGACCAGTCCTCCCTTCCGCATGAAGCCCCTACGTATAGAAAGTGTAAACCCTTTCTAGGGGAGTGTTACTGTAATGGTATACTTTTACGAAGATAACACAGTTGCTGGAATGAAAACATTTATTACTGTACTTAATTCTAACAACACTTGTTCTTTTTAGAAATTTAAAACAAATAGTCCCTTTTATAAATTTTGATAGAACAGTGAGAAGACGTAATTGGTCTGAAAAATGTGATGTATTCGCGCCATACATGTCGAACAATCTGGTCACACATACATAGGGAGGAGTAATCGGAATTTGCAATCAAGGGTTGTGGAACATGTACCTGAGGTTTATGGAGGCCTTGGCTATTAGAAAATTAAAACCCCCCTTATGTGTGCAGAGACAGTTTGTCATAACCTTGAATTTACCTTGGTAATCTTTAAGCCTAGGGTAATGTGACAATTTTCCTACTCCTTCTTATTCTTTTCATATTACGTTAATTTTCTCTCTCATTTATTTACCATTATCACCCTGTCTATTTGAAATTTTATTTAATTGACCATCTATTCATTTTCATATAAAATGCCTTGACAAGTAAATATGTGTGACCAGATTGTTCGAAATGTATAGCGCAAATACATCACATTTTTTAAATCAATTACGTCTTCTCACTGTTCTATCAAAACAGTTGTTCTATTGTACTCCTATTTTGTTTTTAACTGTACTGAAGACCATTACTCGCGCGCCAAGTGTGTAAATCCTATTCTGCGTTTCTCCCCGGTGGTTGTAGAATCTTTTTTTGAATGTTTTGTTTTTTGGAAAATCCCTCCATGTTTATATATTTTTGTTATGACATGACGGACTCTTTCTGTTGACATTTTGGTATTTTATTTGATTCCAATTTGAGATTTTATCATTGTATATTGTTATTATTTCTATATTTTGTACTTATATTGAAGTTTTTATGTTTGCTTCTGAACTGTACATATGTTGTTTAAATTTGATATAATATGGCTACAGCCATATTTGGATTTGATACTGTGGCGGTTGGATCTAGCATCACTTATTCTCTTTGAGCTCGGATACTCATCAGAGTAATTGGGACATGGAAAGTGTATCAAAAGTCAGGTATTGGTTTGTATTTCCATTTTAACGAAATATAGACCACTTTCTCCTAGAATTATTGTGTTCTGATATTGAACTAGGAGAGGGGTGCGTTCGACTTACACTTACTGGAAACAAATTGAACCGCTACGGTAGAAAATCCATCTACAGTCTGACTTTTGATTAGAAGACCAATTACAGTCTAACGAAATTGGAGAACAAGCCTACTACAGTCTGATTATTAAGAAGAATAAAGAAACATTTGGAATTTTAATCGTTTATAATATTAAACTTCTTGGAAGAAGAACTTTGGATTACTTATCGTATTTTTTGTGATCGAACTGTATTTTGGAAAACGATTTTCTGACTTTGGATATTTATTATTGAGAACTTACCGGTGGAATTCCTATATTTTGTATTTGTTATTTATCTTCCGTTGAACTTCACAAAAACATGAGCAACCGCAAGAAAACAAACACGAAGAGGGTGGAAGAGCTTGAAGAATCCCGAAATGCTAGGCAAGTCGTTGATGATTCTTGTTTAATGGGTTCCCACTGTATTCGTGATGATGTTATGTTTGATACTTATTATTGTAAGTCACCCTTAGAAAGCATTAAGGAACAAGGTTTAAGTGAGAATTCTAAGGTACCAGAGAAGGATCAGATGCTTAGGACACCGATAGTAGGCTTAGAACTACCTAAGGTTGAACTTTCATTCTTTGAAGGCAAACCTCGCGACTACTTTAGATTTATTAGACAATTTGAATCGTTTATAGAACCTAGAGTAAAGGATGACAATTTGCGTTTATTATATTTAATTCACTACTGTAAAGGAAAGGCAAAAAATGCGATTGAAGGTTGTCTTATAATGGATCCACAAGCGGGATATAAGAGAGCTAAGGCTATTTTAAAACAGCTCTTTGGACAGTCGCATGTAATAGCCCGTGAAACCTTGGAGGACTTGTTTAGAACCGGGAATGCAGATTATAATGATCCTGAACCATTGACGAATTTGGCGATTAAAATGCAGAATGTTGCTCTAACCTTAGAACAGTTAAATTGTACAACAGAACTTAATTCTCTGGTTACTTTGGAGCGAATAGTTAGAAATCTGCCCCGGTCTATGCAAGCTCAGTGGGCGGAATTAGCCGTAAAATGGATTGAAGAAGATAGAGAGCCTAGTGTAGAATCCTTCTTGAATGTTTTGTGTTTTGGAAAATCCCTCCATGTTTACATATTTTCGCTATGACATGACGGACTTTTTCTGTTGACATTTTCGGTATTTTATTTGATTCCAATTTGAGATTTTATCATTGTATATTGTTATTCTTTCTATATTTTGTACTTATATTGAAGTTTTTGTGTTTGCTTCTGATCTGTATATATGTTGTTTAAATTTGATCTTTAATATGGCTACAGTCATATTTGGATTGATGCAGTGGCCGCTGAACTTAGCGTCACTTATCTAACACTGTTTCTGATACTCTTCGGAGTAATTGAATCCTGGAAGAGGCATTATTTCCAGGTAATGCTTTGTATTTCCATGTTTTTATTTAAATAAGACGCTTTCTCCTAGAATTTTTGTCCTTTTTGATTTGGTTGGGACCCGGGACTGGGAGAATCGTACAGGAGTGCCCCTATTGGAACCCATTGGAACGGCCACTGTAGAAATTCATTTACACCTACCTTCACTGAACTTACTGAGTTTATATTATCTCGAGCAAACAAATTGAACCGCTACGGTAGAAAATCCATCTACAGTGGTTATTAGCTGCTTCTTTTTTCCCGTCTTGATATTATTTCGATATCATGAGACCACGAATCAATACATCCCTTCATCCAGTTATTGTCTTCTGATTTTTGGATCCAACGGGATTTTACTTGGTAATCTGGCGAATAGTAGTTTCGATCTCACTATAAATAGAAGGGAATAAACTATCTTGATGGATATAGTGAAACTTGCCTTCCTGGAAGATCAGCAAGAATTAAAAAATGTCATTTTAGGCAGACAGACTCGACTGCCCATGACGATGAATAGACAGAGAAGAAAACAACCATTTAACAATCGTACGTTATCCGCACGTTCGAGTGAAGCAGT